TACTCTTTTCAAAATGGTTTCCTTTACATGTCCTGTGTCTATGTATTCAACATATGACACAGATCATAGATATGCTGTGTTGGAGAGAAGATGCTGTTGATTCTGATGGAAAATCCACCCTGATGTTAAAAATGTTTTCCTGTGAAATCAGAACCAAAATAAACAGCAGCTTCTTTGCTTCATCTCTAAATCCACAGGTTTCCCAGACTGGTCTCCTCTGAGCTTCATCACGTTGACTCTGAGGATCACAGCACTGATCCTGATGGTTGGAATCACTGCTGATATCATCAGAACCAGAGGTGAGCAAACTGGACCAGAATGGAGCAAATCTACAGATTTTTTATGTTAATTATTTTTATTTTTATTTCCTTCCCAGGAAGCAAAAAGCCACAGAAAGGCATTAATGTAAGAGAATGATTTGAAATTTCTCTCTAAATGTTCAATTTGTTTCAATAACTGTATTATAAAGGTTAATGTTTGGTTTTATCTCACAGGTTCATGATGCTGTTGATGAGGATGCAGTAGATTATGAAAATGATGGAGAACGTTCTGCTGCTGCCACAATCAGCTGACCTTCATCTCATCAATACAGTTTCTACTAAAACAATGCTTTACTATATTTTGCTTCACTTTGCATGAGTAAATATTTAACTTTTTATTTCCAAATAAATGTAAAAAGCTTTTCTCTAAATTTCTGTTATAATCTATAATAAAATAAATCAGCAAATTTCTGGATTTGTTTTCAGACTAAAATCTGGAAGCAGACCGACAGATCCACCATCAGACAGAAACTGATTAATGTGTCATTATCTCAGTCACATTATATAGATGCTGAGGAGCCAATTAGAAGCAGATAAATCTGATATAAAACATAAATGCAGACCTGAAATTTAAAAATCATCCTATGATCAGTCAGAATCACATCAAATTGTCACAATTGTGGTAAAAAACTCTGTAGCTTCATTTGTTAAAATTCTCATTCACCTTTTAAATATAACCTCCTCCTATAAAATCCAACCAATCAGTTTCTTCCTTTGAGCAGGAAGAACAGAGAATAAAGAAAACAATCATTAAAGCTCAGTTTGCTGCTCTCTGATCTACACTGGTGCTCTCTGGTCCAACCCAGATAGCTGGCATCTCTTCTTCTTCTGATGTGATTGGTTGTAGTGTAGCATAGTTGATTCTGCGTTGTGTCTTATGGGAAATAACAGCCAGACGAGAGCTGATCTGAAGACACTTTTAATCCTCCTGCATTCAGACAGAAAATAGTCATGAACAAAAGGCTTTTCTGGTCACAGTTTTCCAAAGCATCTTCTTCCATGGAATCTATAGAAAGAGCCAACTTGTGTAAAATAACACATCTATCTTACAAACTAGAAATAATTGGAGCGATTATTAATAACTAAGCCCAAACATGATCATAATAATCTTAAACAGTACATGACTAAGAAAGAAAATAATTAAACACAATCCCACACCAGGAATAATGAAATATCACATATCTGCATTCAAATAGAAAATAGTAATGAACAAAAGGCTTTTCTGGTCCCAGTTTTCCACAGCACCTGTTTAACCATGAACAATACTATTTTCAGCACATGAATGGAGCATTTTCATTAGTTTCATGTGGCATAAGAGCAGCTAAATAACTGATAACACCATCCTATTGCTGTTTAACAAAGTTCAAATACTCCAAAGCACATTCAGTTATAAGAACACTAATCAAACTCATTTATCATGCTTAAAATACACTTACTGAACACAGAAACCAAACGTCATACCTTCTCCCATGGAGTCCAACAGAAAGCGTGTGACGGAGAGCATGGAAAACAATTCACAGACTACAATGACGATCAGACGATCAGTAGTTGAGTAAAAAAAAAAAAAAAGGTGGATGTTTTTCTTTTAAGCACACATAGCCTAATTAATATATTCTATTAATCTAAAGTAATATGCATGGTCTGGTTGTTAGATGCCAGGTGTTGTTTCAAGAAAGTCATGTGACCAATACAGCAGTTGTTTCTAACTGACTGACACACTAACCTGTGTTATCAATAGTTTTGTAGCAGCCTAAAAGGAATAGAAACGTTAAACTGTGTTTTTACTTTCATTTTCTCGTGTCATCCTTTTCCTCTCGTTATCGCGTAACTTATCTGAATTAAAGTTAATTTCAAATTGACTCTTAGTTTATTTACTGTTTTTTCTGTACTTATTGTTTTAAAAATGGTATCTAAAATTCTAATCCACAAGCATGCTCATTCACATTTCCCCCTAAATTTACACATAATATGTTTACATTATTTATTGGCTGCATCAAAAAAATATCAAAGATATTTTCAATTTAAACATAGATATGAAATAATACGATATAACCTACAATAACTTCAATGATATAATGCACTAGGTCATTAAATCAATTCAGTTTAGTCTGTCCAATAAGCTGCCTGTAGTGTTTTTAAATGTCCAGCAGGTGTCAGTATTCTGTGAGAAACTTTTACCATCAATCCAGTTTGGCAATGAAACGCTTCAAGATGCCTCATTAACCATCAGTACTTCTAACTCCCCTCAACTCGAGTACTTGGTATGATCCGTTCACAAACTAACACACAAAATAACAATCCATGAACTCAATATTTTTTTTTACAAAAGATTATATTTCACATTTTGATTGGCAACATATTAAATTTATATAAAAATAATGATTTTGAAAGAGGAAGTTTCCCGCTGTTTAGAAATGGATCTGTCATCTTTTCAAAAGAAAAGCTGCTGGTGCTCATATCATTTTCTACTGGAATAGCTTCTCACTTGGCAATCTAGTGTAATAACACCAGCAACATCAGCTTAACTCACCAGCAGAGCATTCTGGGAGTTGTAGTATAAGCAGTGAATGGTCTGTCTACCAGTGGGTCAGCTCTAGTAGACATTTGGATTGATCTCATTGATCACATTTGGTCTGTGGGTCTGAGTCTGACTCCTCTGCTGTAAGGGGTCCACTTTGACCTGCTTGGATTCTGTTCTGACTCGGTTTAACTGCTCTGTCTGCAGAGTCTCAGAGCTGCTGGGTGTTAGTGGACTGACTGCAGCTCATTAGAATACATCACACTTCCTCTTTGCTCCGGCAGAGGAAATGACAACAAGCTGGACTGAAATACATATAAACTATAAAGAAATAAAACTTCTTCACCATCACAGTCATTCAGCTGAAACATGTCTGACTTTAGTTGATCTGAGTGTTATAAAGTGAATGAGTTTAATGTAATTTAAATGTTTATTTCTGAATAAAGATTGTGAAACTACTTCCTCCTTTTTGTGGTTTTCTGTCAGTTTCTAAGAAATACCCAAGTAGTACAAAAATAAAAAAGACAGAATAGTTGTGAGGTGTTGGTGTGAAGTATTTTTTTTTTCCATCCATTAATTCAGCGTCAAAGAGGAAATAACATCAGTACTTTTAGATCTGCAGCAGAGAAACGTCTCTCAGTGTTCAGCAGCTGATAGAAGGACAGGAGATGTTGGGTCTGGAACTGATTCTGATCGTTGTTCTTCAGTTTGAAGGTAAATATCTGTTTTAGCTTAAACTAATTAAAGGAAGCTTTGGTTTACTGAAATATTTTATGGAGATTTAATATCTAGTATTTAAAATGTGTTGCTTTTTTTTCTATCATATTTCTAACCTGACAGAGATTAAAATATTAATTATTGTTCACAAAAAATGTCAATGTCCTTTTTGAAAAGGTTGAAACCAGAACAAATTTAATGTTATACTAAGAAAAGGAACATGTTGCAAATTAATAAATGACTCCTCATCTCTAAATCCAGCTTCATGATTTTGTCTGTAAAGGATGAAATGTGTAAAACTTTAATGTGTCTTTGTCTCTGCTGCAGGAACCAGAGGAGGAGTTCTTTATCTCTATCATAGACCTGGAGATGATGTCATTCTACCTTGTAAAAGTCCTTCATCTTCTTACTTATGCTCCATTGTTAACTGGCTTTACAGCAGTGATCAAGGCGCTAGTTTTCCATTTTATGTTAAGAATGGAAAAGTTGTTCAGAGTTCACCTCGAGCTGCCAGGTTAAATGTGGACAGTATCTGCTCCCTGATCATCAACAACATCACTGCTGAGGATGCTGGACTTTACGTCTGTCGACCTGGTTCAGATCCCAGACTTGATGGCACTGTGTATCTGAGCGTTCTGACCAGTGAGTATGTAGACCTGAATGATCTGATGCTGTCAGACTCTTTCCTTCTCATTAACATTGTGAAATACTTGTGTTGGACAGATGTTTCTGACATCAACAGTTCTGATGAATATCTGATGCAGTCAGAAGTTCAAATGTTGTTCTGTCAGAGTGTGAACCAATCATTTATTCAGCTCTGTGTGATGCTTCAACCACACATCAGTCCACACACTTAGTTTGACTTTAGAGTCAGAGTCTGATATTGAAAAGGTCCATTAATTTCATGGATGATTGTTTTTATACCTAACAATGATCAAATCAAACTCAATGTGGTTTTTAAATCTTATTTCTGCCTCCAACTGTGTTTTTCTTGAGTTTTCTTTGTTGGGTTTCGGCTGCTTCCTGTTTGAGCTAAAGGCGGGGCCAAGCTTTGAGGAGCCTGACATCAGGAAGTGACCTCATCAGAATGAACGTTGTGCTCAGCTGCTGTGGGGCTGTTTAGATTCAATTAGTTTCTCTTGTATTGTGTGGTTAAATGCTTTGATCAAACCACTGCATCATTTACTTTCATTTGGAAAGTTTTCTTGTTTTGTTCCATCATGCTGATAAATACCTGCTCAGATCTGCAACATTAGTGCATCAATCACCAAGAAACATGGAGACGACATATTAAGTTTCATTAGTTTTTTTTAATAGTTCCTTATTTTTATTCTACTTTTCACAGACTGAGATAAAGTTTTATTTTTAAGTTTCTCACCTTATATAAAATTTCTTCTCCATCATTCAAACTAAAACAACGGTTTTCATTTTTCTTTCAGTCTCTCCATCTTCACCAGCTGCTGATCCAACTAAGGATGGAGATGTCACATTACTGTGTTCTCTGAAGAGGAACAGTGGGTTGGGTCCTTGTCCAGAGGACAGTTTCCACTGGTTGGATGAGACAGGAACTAAACTGACTGGTGAAGATGTTGGATACAAGTTAAGAAAACCATGGATCTGTGTTTCCTCTCTAACTGTGCAGCATCAGATCGTCACCAACAGAAGATACACCTGCCAGTTTGTTGAAGGAAACAGCATAAAGGTAGAAGCTCACTACCCAGCTGGGTTTAAAGGTAGGCTGCCTTTGATCTACGGAGTAAATGAGATAAGAAGCAGCAATTAGCAGAATCTCAGCTGATTATTTAAATTCTATGAATTTGCAAAGGGTTTGAAGAGGATTGGGTGGCAGTCAGAGGTTGGGGGCTCTGGGATCTGATCCAAAGTAGCTTAAATCGGCTCTGGGGATGTGGAATGTGACCTCGCTGGGGGGGCAATGACCCTGAGATTTTGTGGGAGGTGGAGTGATACAGGCTAGAAATATTTGGGCTCGCCTCCACATAAAGCCAGGGCTCTGGAACCCAGCTCCTTGGGAGAGACTGGATTTTCTCTACTCTTAAGTGGCCCCTGGGAAGAGACTGAGAGCTGGAATGGGTCTGCTTGTCTCTCCCCAACTCACTCATGTTGTGTTGGAGTTAACGCCGGTGGAGAGGGTTGCATCCCTTCGCTGAATAACATTGCAGGTTTGTTTGCTCGAGTGCGAGAATTTGAACTTAATGTAAAAATCTTTTATAAATGTATTGTTTCTCTCTTGAGACTTATAAGAGGAAAGTCTTTTAAACCATTTTTGCGGTTGAAAGAAAAAGTCCTTATATATATATATATATATATATATATATATGTTTTTTTTTTTTTTTTCTCTTCTCAGACAAAGTTGATGTATATTTTTATTCCATATAATCTACCGTAGCTTAGAAACACTGAAACAACTTTAATGGAAGCAAAGAGGACAAAGTTTGGTCTTTTAAAAAAATTGAAGCCACACGTTTCATCCAGTGCTGCTAAATAGGATTTATGTCAGTCGGCTGCTGTTGGTGTTTAGAGGTTCTGGTTGTTCTGGCTCTATGGCAGCCTTGCTTCTGTCATTCTGCCCAAAGCAGCTGTGGCTACAGTGTAGATTACCACTACCAGCGTGTGAATTACTGAATGTAGTGCTAAGAGCTTTGAGATTACTGGACTTGATAAGGTGCTGTGAAAGTACAGACCTTTGACCATTTAGTAACGACATGGATGTGTGTGGGGGGCATTGTATGATAACTAAAAATAAATCAGGTTTAGAGTTATTAATAATAATAATAATAATAATAAATAGAAGATAAATTCATTGAAATGTTTTTAATGTAAAATGATTGTAAGGCGTTTTAAATCCTCAGACCCACATTGAACTGATCAATGAACATTCTGTTCTTTTTCTTTTTTTCCTTTTTAACCTGATGAGAGAAAACAGCTTTTTTAAAGGCCATTCAATCCTGTTAAATAATTTTATTTATATTTATGTGGGGACAGTAGACATTCACTTGCATTTTGTGATTTATTTTGTAGCAATCCCTCACACCAAGCATGCATGCAGCAACAGTGGAGAGAAAAAAAAACAGGAAGAAGCTTGCAGCAGAACCAGGTTCTGTGTCAGCAGCAAAAGGAACATAGAATCACTGATTAAACAATAATTTGTATGTTAGAAAAGGTCATGGGAAACTGGCTCCATTGGTGTTTTTGTTTAGCAAAGATACAGTACAGCACATGAGGTCTGAGTCGATCCTCATGTGAAACAGCTGAAAGAGAGAACATATAAATGGTCACAGCAAAATCTCACGAATCATTTTTGAAACCGGGTGTCGGAAAACGCCGACATGTTTCAAGCCACATCTTTTTGTCAAACAATGAAGTTGTAGCTCAACCTCTGTAATCAGTCTGTTCATGCCCAGTGTTTTTCATAGTGGTTTGGGTGTGTTCTGTGTAGGGCTGGGTACCGAACATCGGGTCTTTTATGGTACCGACCGAAATGCTTCGGTTTTACAGAGTATCGAAACATGCCTCGTCTTTCGGTGCCAAATTTCGGTGATTGGCTGTAACACTTAACGTGATTGCGTCATCCAGGAAATATACCTACAGCCAGGGTTCATATGTATCTGTTGTGAACTGGTTGCGAGGGTCGTGGAACCCCTTTAAAATACCCCCCAGGTCAAAAGTGTGGCTTCACTTTATTAAGGCTGATGCCAATGCAATACATTGTGCACGGAAACAATTTAAGAGCAGAAAGTTGCGCGGTGTTTGACTGCAAGAAGAGCGGACCGCAGCCGGCGCAACCATCGTCCTCTCAGCAGCCCGTGGGCGGTGCAAAGCCAGAGCGGAGTGAATCATGCTGCGTTCACACCGGACGCAGCAGGAGCAGCAAAATTGCGTCTGCTGCTTCTTTTTTGCTGCTTGTAGCAGCTTCTGACGCACGGCTGAAGCAGCTTTGCTGCTCTGGCTGCGTGGTCGAAAAGTGGCTCTGACGCGCGTTGGGCGAAGCTACTCTATCCTTTATTTGCCTTGCAGCTATATTTACTGTGATCAGTGGGAATAAAGTAGTTTTATTATGTTTTTAAGTGGGAAAATCCACCTGAAAACTTAATCAGTGCAGTCACTTAATCCAGATTACCATCCTGCCTTCCAATATTATTTCTGTCGGAGCCGTTCAGACCCCCACATACCAGCGGAGCGCTGTCAGCAGGATCCCATTCAACAGGCTTGTTTGTCTCCTGAGAAAGCAGACATGTTAATTTTTCTAAAGAAAACTGCTAAGTAAAAAGGTCCTCACAATGTAACAGTGAATATTAGACACTGACTTTTTGCAACTGTTCTTGTTCACTGAAAAAAAAAATGTAAATGGAAAAATCAGAGCTTAAGATAAAACTCAAGATTTGTACTTTATTATGTTGTGTAATTTTCTTTTTCTTCGAATTAATATTATAAAACTGGTATTGAAAAAAGTATCGTTCAGGAACAGGTATCGAAGTGAAGGTATTGGTATTGGTACCGGCACCGAAAATTTTTGAACAATATCCAGCCCTGGTTCTGTGTCAGCGCCACCAAATGGCCCAGCATATGTACTACAGCGTCTTCATTGGTGCTGTGTTTACTTATGTGAGCTTTTTATGGAAATATTATGTGTTTGTCTTTGTGAGGAAAAGGCCTAACAGTTCATCTGCACTGTTCTGTATGACATCTTTAAGAATCTCAGAAAAAAAAATGTCACTGACATCAACATTTTTATATTTGTAGAAAAATCTATAAGTCTGATAAGAGCACATGATATGCTAAACTGGAAATGAATACATTTATGTTTTTGTAAGTAAATACTAAGATCTGTATGGTTGTAAATTGATAATACATCCTTCAATTACAATATTTCTAATTTATCTTAAAGAAATTCTATATTTTTAGTAAATCCTGCCACACAAGTATTTAGACTGATACTATTTCTCTAAATGTGTCTATTCTGCAGGTTTCAGAGTCCATATCTACCACAGAGCTGGAGATGATGCTGTTTTACCCTGTAAAAGACCTTCATCATCCTCTTCCTCCTGCTCCACTGTTAACTGGCTTTATAGGAGAAAAGAAGACATGAATCCTCAGCAGGAAGTTCAGAGAGGAAACGTTGTTCAGAGTTCATCTAGAGCTGCCAGGCTGAGTGTGGACAATAACTGCTCTCTGATCATCAACAGCATCACTGCTGGGGATGCTGGAGGTTACAGATGTCAGATTCAGGATGGAGGCAGCTCTGATCCAGATGTGTATCTAAATCTGATGAGCAGTGAGTGATCTGAACTTACTCTGCGTTCCTGCTGATATCAGTCCTTCCTAACCTGGAAATAAAAATTGTCTTTGTTGGTTTTCTCATTTCAGTCTCTCCAGTAGAAGCTGATCCAACAGGGAATAATATCACATTACTCTGTTCTCTGCTGAGATTCAGATCAATGGGTTCTTGTCCAGAGAACAGCTTCCTCTGGTTGGATGAGACAGGAACTTTTCTGACAGGTGAAGGTGTTGGGTACCAGTTTAGACAGACTGGCTGTGATTCTTATCTCACTGTGAAGCTTCAGAGCAGCAGCAGCAGAAGATACACCTGCCAGTTTGTTGATGGAAACACAGTGAAGATAGAAGCTCACTACCAGCTGGAAGGTATTATGTCATCTTATGAAGATAAAATATAAAGTCTGTGATTAAATCTATGTTGTGTATGTTAAAACAAAGTTATATCTGTTTGCATTTTAGTCAAACGATGTGTTTTGACCATGGTTTGACCAAGTGTTTTATAATATTGGAATCACCCAAGCAGATCTTCCTAAAAACACCAACATCATCATCGTCCTTGGTGCAGTGATCTTTGCTCTGCTGCTGCTGGTTGTTCTGGCTGCTGTTTTCATCAAACGCAGGAAAACCAGAGTTAAGGAGGATCATAAAACCACAACAGGTACTGGATCTTTAATCTACAGAGGGAATTTATAGTGTTGTTAACTATAGAACTGTTTATTAGTTATTTTTTAGTAATTTTTACTTCTACATGATTGTCTAAAAGGTCCAAATGGAGTAAATAAAGGGTACAACATTCAGACCTGTTACATAATCAGCTTAAGCAACTTTGTTTGGATGAAAATTATGACATTCTCAGACCGCAGAAATATTCATAAATGGCAAAGGCTATTAGTGATATTATTGATTTATTAGTGATTGAAGTCAGAGTGAACCTTGACCTCTGTCAGATGAATGTCAGGAAATGAATGGTAGTCAGGGTTCTAACTACTGTTGTAAGGTGCTTCTCTGTCTTGTTGTGTATTTGTTATCAGTTCAAGTAAACTTTCTATCTATTATTATCATTCCCCTCAGTGCAAAAAGCTGCATTTCTTCTCTCATTAACTAACTTCTGTTTCCGACATCTTGTGAAATACTTTTCACAGAATAAGGAAGAACTGTTTCCATAGTAACCATAGTCTGGTAAACTATTACTGTTTCAGAGAAAAGGGGAAGCTAGAAATGATCATTAAAATAAAATTATTTTGTTTTTCTTTTCATTCAGAGGATCAAGATTCAGCCCATGGAAGTCATCAGTGTGTGAGTATTGATACAATCCAATTAGTTTCCCATAGAGGTAACAGAATATGAATAAAATGACTGTATGTTAAATGTTTAAAAAATAGCCGCTATGTTTTAACACCAAAACAGTTAAGATGTTCCTACTTGCTGCTTATTAAGTGTAAAGTGGCAGGAAATGAATGCAGTTTGTTCCTCTTTTCTAAACTTGTCCGAGAATAAAAAGAGAATCTGCTAAAATTTAGCAGCTTTGCAGAATATGCAGATATTGATAAGGCAAGGGTTTATTAAGTTTATTATTTATTTACATTTATTTACATAACATATTTCAGTGGCAAGCAAAAAAGTGCATTGCAGTGGCATAGAAGCAACACAAATAATTACCTACCTTATTTGTGTTAAAATGAAATTGTAAAGTTTGGTGTTTTTAGAACACAGCGGTGGGTACTTGGAATATATATATATTTAACCTCTTAAAACTCAGCTCTGCAGCTATTGAGCCTCCATCACTGTCACTGTGGTCAAAGTAACACCAGACTAGGTGACTGTCTGTCAGTGATGGGACTAACGGTTTTAGTAACGAGTAATCTAACTAATTACTTTGACTGTAACTATAACACAGTTACCATTGCAGACACCCCGTTACTGCCCGTTACTCAGGTCCCACAATGAACCTTTTTTCATGATAGGACTCGTGCGCGCGTCATGAGACAGGGGAGGATGAGAATGGCTGATGTATAGTGAGATTCCGTCTGTCAGTTGGGTAGGTGGGTGTTTCCGCTGGTGGGTGTTAACGTACAGCACACACAGAGAGATGGAGAGTGAGGAGGACTCCAGCAGCAAAACAGCGTTTTCCAGATGGAAATACTGGTGTTACGTCGAGCTGCGTTTCCCCATCAGATACGGTTTCCCCTGCATCTCCACACAGCGCAGGAGGCACGATTCACCGCGCAAGCGACAGGAAACAAGCATGCTCGCTAAAGGCGCGCAACAGTCGCCCTGTGCTCGTGCCACAGGGGAACTACGGAGAGCGGGAACGATCAAATGATAGCCTATATGGAGAAAGGGAGAAATCTGGATGGATGGATGGATGGATGGATGGACGGACGGACGGACGGATGGATGGATGGATGGATGCTCTGCCTTTTTTCAACCTACTGTATTTTTTATTTTGAACATTATTTGATGGCCTTTGTGGCAGGGATGGAGATCCATATTTTATGTCACACACAGAGTATACATCTAGATAGATAGATAGATAGATAGATAGATAGATAGATAGATAGATAGATAGATAGATAGATAGATAGATAGATAGATAGATAGATAGATAGATAGATGTTGCAGTATCTATAACAAGCCAAACACACAGGATTTCAGAATTAGACATCCCCAGTTATTAATTTCATATACTCACCATATCTGAATGCCCTGTTAAAAAACTTCACATGGCGTTCCCCCCTGATGTCATTTACGTTGAGTTGCAATAAATGCAAACGCAGGTTCTTGTCTTTGTCGTCCGCTCTATTCAGCTGGCTTTTGAAACACACAGCGAACAGGTGGGGGCTGGGTGGTGAGGGTTACGGGGGCGAGAAACGCAAAAGTAACGCAATAGTTACTTTTACTAGTAACTAGTTACTTTTATTTTGGAGTAACTCAGTTAGTAACTCAGTTACTTTTTGGGAGAAGTAACTAGTAACTATAACTAATTACTTTTTCAAAGTAACGTGCCCAACACTGCTGTCTGTATGATCTTGTTGAATTGTAAATTGCCTTGAGATGATATGTGTTGTGAACTGGCTCTCTTTACATAAACTGAAATGAATTAAAATGATTAAGGCCAAAAGAAGCATGAATACAGAAGTCTACCCCCCCCCCCCCCCCCCCACCCCCCCCACACACACACACACACAAAAAAAAAAACATGTATTGAGGCACAGGAACCAGAGCAAAGGGGAACCCATGGGTTAAGCAGGAAATTAAGTAATGAAACAATCCAGCAAACAGTAGAGGAGGAGCATAAATGGCAAACAGAATATATATATATATATATATTAGATAAAAAAAATACTTTCCTTTGGTATCTTTGCATATTTGAGTTACTTGAATCTGAAACCAACTCTTTCAGAGCTTCTTGGTGAGTACTCCTCCCTCCCTCTCTCTCTCTCTCTCTCTCTATATATATATATATATATATATATATATATATATATATATATATATATATATATAGATATATATATATATATATATATATATATATATAGATATATATATATATATATAAATATACATAGAGAGAGAGAGAGAGAGACCCTTTGACATTGTTTATTTATTTTACATCAGAAAACATACTCTGTTTCCATTCATCACAATAAAAAACAACCATTACCACACAAAACAGACACACATACACAGATATGTTAAATGTTAAGAACCAGTGAGCCATCTTCCTCTACTAAACATAAAACATGTCTAATCCCCCACAGAGCCCTAAAAGGCTCCAGATTACTAGTCAGTGTGTAGAAAGCATGCTCCACTCTCAGACGAGCTGCAACCAGACCTTTCAGGCTCTGCAACACATCTGTCCTACCCTGACCCAGCATCTGATCTTCCTGGTGTTCCAAATGGATAGTTTAGCCACCCCAAACAAAACAAAAATTAAAACTAATTTCAGTTTTCTCCTCACTATGTATCTGGGTCCAAAAACAAACAGAGGAACAGAGAAAACCTCCCCCAAAGCTTTCACCCATCCTTTCAAAACTTTAAAAAAGACCAACTAGCCGAGGACAACCCACCACTAAGAGAGAGAGAGAGAGAGAGAGAGAGATGTAAGCATGCAGGGAGCTATCCAATAGGTTGGTCTGTTGAATCCTTAGCTGCAGATGTGTTGAATTTCAGTGGAACAGTCCTGGTAAATGAAATAAATATAGTTTCAAAAATCCATTAGATTTGGATGAACTGCAGTGGTCACATAGATGCAGATAAAAAAGCATCAACAACATCTCATTTACTCATTTATCACATTACGCATTCAATCTTTTAAACCGTAATCCTTTTAGAACATAATTTCTCTGTAAGTTTTAAAGATATTCTGACAAACATTTTTTAAAGAAACAGGTGAGATCTATAGAAATGCAAAAAAAAAAGAAGCTGTGAGTTTTTATTCTGCAGGGCTGTGAAGGTTGATCCATATGTATTTGGAAAACATCAATCACCAATCATTACTGAAACATATTCCAGTAAAGTTATGTAATTCTAGAATTTCACCATTTATTTGAGGGTGTTTGTGTCAAAACTGTATAAAGGGTCAAAAATCAAAATGGTATCTTAAAATACACACGAAAAGTCATGTAACCGCTGATCTGTGTCTTTATATCTACATCCCCTCCTGCAACAGTGAATAAAGGTTTTCTGTCCTTTTTTTCAGGATGAGGATCAGTCCAACCTGACTTATGCCACTGTTAAAGATTTTAATCCCAAATCTCCTCAGAGAATAATGGTAAGAGACCAAACAAGCATTGCTGGTTCATTATGAAACTAATACCAATGGATGAAAGTAACTATATCTAAGCTGAGGGTTAAAGACTTAGTTAATTCATCTTTTTACTTGTCATTGCAGAACTTAACTTACTACGGTTCCATATTATCCCTTTTTTTTTGCAGAGGAGATTTATTTTTATTTCAATATTAACCTGTTAAATATCATGTGAATTTAGGCCGAAGTAAACTGTGTTTTAAATTTTTTTTTATTGGTTTGGAAACACTCTGTAAACACCTGACCACTTTCTAATAACCTTCAGGATTACTTTAACAGAGTTCTCCTCCCCCAAAAGAAGATTAAATTTTAGTAGATCTTTATCAGATAGTGCAGTTATACATTTTAAAGAATCTGCTTCACTTTCCCTCTCCTCTGTGTCGCTGAGCAGTACTACAGAGTGCAAAAGCATAGCTTATTCCCCTTCACAGGTTGATGATTTTGTTGATGGGGTTGCTAGTTCTGCAGCTCCTTTGAAAATGAAAACCATTAAAAATAGAAAGCTTGCTCCTTGGTTTAATGCAGAGCTGCATACTTTGAAGCAAAATGCTAGGAAATTGGAGAGAAAATATCGCTCCACAGGCCTGCGGGAGTCCTTTCTAGTCTGGAAAAATAGTTTACTGCTGTATAAGAGGAACCTTTGTAAAGCAAGAGCAGCATACTTCTCCTCATTAATAGAGGAGAATAAGAATAATCCTAGATTTCTTTTTAATACTCTTTTTAATACAGTTGCCAAACTCACCCAAAGCCATAGCTCTGTTAAACCGTCCATTCCACCTGCTCTTTGCAGCAATGATTTTATGGGATTCTTTATAAATAAGATTGATCTTATTAAAAATAAGATCATAAGCACTCCTCTATCCGTGATTTTACCTGAGGTAGTCATGGAATCTGAACCGGATTTAGACTGCTTTGATCCAGTTGAACTTTCTGAGTTAGCAAAATTATTGTCTTCATCTAAGCCTTCAACTTGTATGTTAGATCCAGTTCCAACCAAGTTATTTAAGGAGGTATTCCCTTTGATCTCCTCCTCCATTTTAGATGTGATTAATCTATCTCTGTTACAGAGATATGTACCTAAAGCTTTTAAGGTTGCTGTAATTTAACCTCTGCTTAAGAAACCGTCTCTTGACCCAGATGACTTGGTCAATTATAGACCTATATCCAATCTTCCTTTCTTATCTAAAATTCTTGAGAAAGTAGTTGCCAAACAAGTGTGCGATCACTTACACCATAATGAACTTTTTGAAGAGTTTCAGTCTGGCTTTAGAGCTCATCATAGCAGTGAAACAGCTCTGGTGAAAGTCACTAATGATATTCTCATGGCCTCAGATAATGGACTTGTATCTGTGCTCGTCCTGTTGGATCTTAGTGCTGCATTTGATACAGTTGACCATAATATTCTTTTGGAAAGACTTGAATATTTTGTTGAAATTAAAGGAACAGCACTAGACTGGTTTAAATCTTATCTATCTGATCGAATTCAGTTTGTTCATGTTAATGATAGATCTTCAACATGCTCAAAGGTTACCTGTGGAGTACCACAGGGATCAGTGCTAGGACCAATTCTCTTTACTTTATACATGCTCCCAATTGGTAGAGTTATTAGACAGCATGGGATTAATTTCCACTGTTATGCTGATGATACCCAGCTATATCTGTCTATAAATCCAGATGAAGCTAACCCATTACATAGATTACAGGCATGTCTTGAAGACATAAAAACCTGGATGACTCTTAACTTTCTGCTTCTGAATTCAGACAAAACAGAAGTTATAGTCTTTGGACCAGAGTCTTTGAAAAATAAGCTGATTAGTCAGTCACTTCATTTGGATGGGATTAAACTGATTTCAGATAAAAAAGTAAAAAATCTTGGTGTTGTTTTTGATCAGGACCTGTCATTTAAATCCCATATCAAAGAGGTTTCTAGAATTTCCTTCTTTCATCTGAGGAACATTGCAAAAATTAGAAATATCCTGTCCAGGGGTGATGCTGAGAAACTAGTCCATGCATTTGTTACTTCAAGGCTGGACTATTGTAATTCTTTACTATCAGGAAGTCCACAAACTGTAGTTAAAAGCCTTCAGCTGATCCAAAATGCTGCAGCCAGAGTTCTAATGAAAATTAAAAAGGGAGATCATATCTCTCCTATCCTGGCTTCTCTTCATTGGCTTCCTGTTAAATCCAGAATAGAATTTAAAATCCTCCTTCTCACATATAAAGCCTTAAATGGCCAAGCTCCATCTAATATCAGAGATCTGATTGTTCCTTATGTTCCTAACAGAGCACTTCGCTCCCAATCTGCAGGTTTACTAGTGGTTCCTAGAAGTTCTAAAAATAGAATGGGAGGCAGATCTTTTAGTTATCAGGCTCCTCTCCTGTGGAACCAACTACCAGTTTTAGTCCGTGAGGCAGACACCGTCTACTTTTAAGGCTAGGCTTAAAACTTTCCTTTTTGATAAAGCTTATAGTTAGGGTGGCTCAGGTTATCCTAAGCTATCTCTATAGTTATGCTGCTATAGGCCTAGACTTCTGGAGGACATAGGGACCCCCATTTCGTCGTTCTGCTTCATTCTCTCTCTATCTCCTATTCTGCAGAATCTGTTAGTTCAATCTCTAACCTTCTGCTCTCTCTGCTTTTCCTCAGAGTAGCTTTGCCTCGTCTGTTCCTGTTTGGCTGTGACGTCATCCTGGAAAGAAACATCAGCTGTGCTGCTTCCATCAACACCCTTGTTTATAGATGCAGGAGATCGGCCTGTTTTCCAGTGTGGTCCTGTTTTTCTGACCGTGAATGAGTGGATGTGCTCTCTTCGTCCTCTGGCATGGGAGCTGGCTCGGAGCTCGTCTGCCTGGCTGCGTGTTTCCTGGACGGGGCCGCCTTTTACAGCTGCTTTTTGTGTCTCTGCTTCTGTCTCCTTGAACCCCAGTCGGCCTCGGCAGATGGCCGCTCACACTGAGCCAGGTTCTGCTGGAGGTTTCTTCCTGTTAAAAGGGAGTTTTTCCTCTCCACTGTCGCTACAAGCATGCTAAGTGTGAGGGATTGCATTTGAGTCAATGAGTCAATGCAATCAACTGGTTTTCCTTAGATAGAAAACTTTGTATCAATTTGACTGTATGATCTGGTTGAACTGTAAAGTGCCTTGAGATGACATGTGTTGTGAATTTGGCGCTATATAAATAAACTGAATTGAATTGAATGTTAAATGACCACATACATGTGGGAAGTCTTTAACTGGAACTGAAACAGTTTTGTTTTGTTTTTTCAGGTCAAACAAGATGAAGAAACTGTGACTTATTCTGCTGTTAGGACTAAACAGAAGAGAGAAGAAGACATTGATCCTAACAGTCTCTACAGCCAAGTCTCTGAGCCCAAACTAACTAAATAGGGAAATTAAAAATCTCAAACCTCTACCTTTATTAAAACTGCTACAGGAAGTAGACATTTGGGTTTAGGTTCCGCCGAGGCTAAAATAATAATCTATAGCTTATATTGAAGTTTTGCTATTGTATTTAAGTGATGATGAGGGTTTCGGAGCAGCAATGTACAGTTACTGAGTTATGGAGCTTTGTTACAATTGTAAATATGTGGACTTTATTAAACTCAAGAGTTTTAAAAGAAATAAAGCCCTTTAAGTTCTTGTGAGAAAAGATTGTTGATCTGTCTCCTCTGTACCTGCCTGGACGTGACCTTCAAGGTGAGGAGAACATCATTTCATGCAGATTCCAATTAGCATAAAATTTTAAAGCCTAAAATAACCTTTCAGTTCAGTCAGAAATTATGGAAACCAAACCTGGAAGCAGTTCTCAGATTTTAACAACAGAAGATTAGTTTCCATCCCAGGAGGCGAGGCAGAGTCTCTGGAGGCCGGCCGTGGGGCCGGAGGCGAGGCTATCTCTGCAGAGGGAGGCCCCTTGACGAGGCCGGCGGCGAAGGAGGGCCTCTGGGGTAGGCTGGCGGCGAAGGAGGTTCTCTGGGGGAGGCCGGCGGTGACGCCGGGTCTCTGACGAAGGAGGGTCTCTGGAGGAGGCCAACGGCGATGCCGTCTCTGACGAAGGAGGGTCTCTGGAGGAGGCTGACGGGGACGCTGTCTCTGATGAAGGAGGGTCTCTGGAGGAGGCCGACGGCAACATGATGCAGCAACAGCCGCAGGGGACGCCGTCTCAGACGCAGCAGCAGGAACAGCATCAGAGGAGGCTTGGAGTGCCCGCTGAGGGGCCTTGGAGGCTTGGCTGAGAGCCTTTTATTAGTGTGCTCAGGGGTATCTGGACGGCACAGAGCTCGCTCAGGGGTCACTGGACGGCACAGAACGGGCTCAGGGGTCACTGGCGCTGGGCTTAACGGCCCACTAATGGGCTCTGAAGCTGGGGAAACTACCCCGCCAATCGGCTCGGAAGCTAGGGAAACTTCCCCGCTAATGGGCTTGGGCGTTAGGGAAACTGGCCCGCTAATGGGCACTGGAGCTAGGGAAACTGGCCCGCTAATGGGCATTGGAGCTAGGGAAACTGGCCTGCTAATGGGCACTGGACCTAGAGAAACTGGCCTGCTAATGGGCACTGGAGCTGATGGAGGTGGCAGGAAAGGGAAAAGATCTTCCCTCTCCCCATAAAAGAAGCCCCATAACTGAGACTCCTCTAGATGGGGAGTTCTGACTGCAGGGGGTGTAATCATGGGTACCATTTTGAGTCTCTTCAAAGAAGCGGGCTAGCTGTTGCTCATGGAGGTGACGACTGAGACTGAGGGAAAAATTGACCTGGTTACGAGGGGAGCTAACGCTAGAAGCTGGCTGACCCATGGGAGTGGAGGCGTTAGGTTGACCCGCCGGAGAGAGAGTGGAGGCGTCAGTCTGACCCGCCGGAGAGGGAGTGGAGGTGTCAGGCTGACCCGCCGGAGAGGGAGTGGAGGCGTCAGGCTGACCCGCCGGAGAGGGAGTGGAGGCGTCAGGCTGACCCGCCGGAGAGGAAGTGGAGGCGTCAGGCTGACCTACCGGAGAGGAGGCGATTGAAAGCAGAGTAGGAAGGAGATGAAGTGATGGTTTGGGTGGTGGAGGTCTGTTGAAGAGTTCGGCGCTTGCTGCTTGGTGGTTCCACTCCAACTCTTCAAACAGTTCAGACAACAATGGGGGAGAAATGAGTTTGGAGTTTGTGAGGAAAATTTGCTTCAGTTGGCCAGCCGCAATCACCATCTTCCAAGGCGGTGTTTGATTGGATATTGAGTCCAGAGTATTGCCTGGATTGATGAAAAAATCCCTCAGGGTGTCCAGACTGGGCTCTGCTGGGTCCATTTTGGTTGGTTCCTATTGTCAAGGTTAGGTTGTGGTTTGGGGACCCAAATGCATAGGCAGAGAGGCTGAGGAGACTTATGTGGTTTAATGGAGAGAAACATTAAACAAAGGCAGAAATCCAAAAATCCATCTAATAATGAAAAGCAAACCAGAACTATGGAGACATCTAGGGAAACCAAACACGAGGAGCCAGGGAGAGACGAGGCTGGCAGACAACAGCATGGGAGGACAGCAAAGACAAGGGAGCAGTATAGCAGAGGGAGAGTATATGTAGCTGACTGAGACAAAGGCAGGGCTAACCAGCTGAAAAGAAGCAGGTGTGAGAGGAGACAACGAGGGAGCCAAGGGAAAAGGAACACACACAAGAGGGCAACAAAGGAAAACCACAGAAAAACCTGAGAACATAAATCTAGAAACTACAACAAAATAGGAATTTAACCAATAAAACTAGAAAACAAGGACCAAAGTAAAGCACAACAGAACCAAGACCATGATAAAGAGGTAATGAAGCATTTCAGTAGACGACAGACAGTGATGGGGGTAACGGTGTTGAAAGGAACCTTTTTTTAGTAACGAGGCAATCTAGCTAATTACTTTGCCTGTAACTATAACGCAGTTACCATTGCCGACACCCTGTTACTGCACAGTACTCAGGTCGCACAATGAACCTTTTCTTCATGATAGGACTTGTGCGTGCCTTGTCATGAGAGAGTGGGGATGAGATTTGCTGATGTAAAGTGGAGTAACTCAGTTAGTAACTCAGTTACTTTTTGGGAGAAGTAACTAGTAACTATAACTAATAAGTTTTTCAAAGTAACGTCCCAACACTGATGACAGAAACCAGAATTTAGAGGTGCCTAGTCAACCATTGAGCATGACAAGAAGAAGTAACAGAGAGCATCTGGTCGAGGTCTTAATTCCTTAATCTGGAGCTAGGTGTCGCTAACTCCAGGGAGCTTGAAAATCCAATATCCTACTTCAAACTAACTTCACAGCGGTGTTTGCATCCTGCATGTTTTTGCAGCATGTTTCGCCATGCGCTTTGCATTTGAACCTGTCACTCTCCTTTAAAGAGATGAATCAATCAAATCATACAGACAGAAAATTCTATTTCCTCAATTTGAATTACTTTGAGCTATCTGATGCACTCTTTGATGGGTAGAATAAGCAGTAAAGGAGCTATTTCCTTTTTTTTCTCCCCAGCATTTTATTGTTATTAGACTGTCACAAGTACAGAGTAATGAAACAAACTCTCTGCATTTAACCTATCCCTTTTGGGAGCAGTGGGCTGCCATTGTGCGGCGCCCGGGGAACTGTGTGGGGTCAAGGTTCTTTGTTCAGGGAGTCAGAGTGGCAGGCTTTGGGAGTGGTGTTTGAACCCTGGATTCCAATGCCCTAATGACTAGGCTGCCACTCCCCAATCTCACATTGGAGAAATTTACTTCTGTATTTAACCCATCCCCTTGTGGAGCAGAGTTGGGTTGAGGGTTTTGCTCAGGAACCTTGAGTGGAGGCTCTGGCCGTGGGGATCGAACCGGGTGCATGCAACCTTCTCATAGCACTGCTCTAACAACTAGGCCAACGCTCCCCTTGAACTGTATGGGGCAGTATTTACAAATGGGATTCTACTAGACACAAGCGTGACGACATCAATACGATAACATGTGGGTGTTGGTGTGAATTTCTTTTTAAACATTAATTCAATCACAAAGAGGAAATAGCATCAGTATTTTCAGATCTGCAGCAGAGAAACGTCTCTCAGTGTTCAGCAGCTGATAGAAGGACAGGAGATGTTGGGTCTGGAACTGATTCTGATCGTTGTTCTTCAGTTTAAAGGTAAACATCTGCTTACTTTTGAATGAAGCTGAGACAAATTAAAGGACACACTGATTTATGACGGCAGTTTAAAGAGGGATGAAAATATTTGCAAGCGTTAATTTAAGCAGCAGTAGCAGCAATTCACTTTTTGACCCAGTATTTGTGTAAAGGAAGTTCAGAAAAGTTAGATTTATTGTATTTTTTTCTTATGCTGTCTGAATGTTATCACCTAACGTGGGTGTAAGATGTCAATAACTGATGATATGAAAATGGGTAAAAATATTAACAATAGATTGTAGATAATAATGCAAATAAATGACTTTCTAAGTCATGTGTTGAATTGTGAGGATGAATTATGTCCAACTTAACTTTCTTTACTGCAGGCACCAGAGGAGATTTTAAGTATCACAGATCTGGAGATGATGTCTTTCTATCTTGTAGCAGTTCTTCATCTTCTTCCTCGTGCTCCACTGTTAACTGGTTTTATGACAGAGATTCAAACATTAATCATCAACAGCAGATTAAGGATGGAAAAGTTGTTCCATCCCCTCGAGCTGCCAGGTTAAATGTGGACAGTAACTGCTCTCTGATCATCAACAACATCACTGCTGAAGATGCTGGAGGTTATTACTGTCGACTTGGTTCAGGATCCACCTATGATGGCTCTGTGTTTCTGAATGTTCTGACCAGTGAGTATGTAGACCTGAATGATTTTATGCTGTCAGACTCTTTCCTTCTTATTAATGCTTGTGTTGGACAGATGTTTCTGACATCAACAGTTCTGATGAATATCTGATGCAGTCAGAAGTTCAAATGTTGTTCTGTCAGAGTGTGAACCAATCATTTATTCAGCTGTGAGTGATGCTTCAACCACATATCAGTCCACACACTTAGTTTGACTTTACAGTCAGAGATTTGATGTTGCAAAGGTTCATTCATTTCATGAATGATTGTTTTTATACCTAAAAATGTTCAAATCAAACTGAACCTAGTGTATTCTGATGAGAAATGAACAGCCGTCACCTCTACCACGGGTCAACACGTAAAAGCGGAAAGCCCAGAGGGCGCAAACTGTAATGATCTCAGAATATTGGACCCAGAATTCGAGGCGAGACAGGCAGTGGGAAGGTTCAAAGCGTTTATTTAACAAAACAGGTGTCATGATTGGTTTAAGGCTAAACCCACATGCAGAACACAAACGGAGGCTGAGTAAAAGTTTAACAGAGGTTATTGAAAAAGGTTTTCACACAAAGACATGAACTGGTTCAGGTACTGGTCCGGGTTGGGTTCACTGATGTCTGCAGAGACGGACAGTTTGATTAGCCAGGCAGTCAGATGATTAATTGAGTCTTTTGATAATTCAGAGTCTACCTTGAAGAAGTCCAGGCTTTGCTTGTGAGAGAGGGAACCGGTTGGGTCCAGAGACTGTTGGTTCAGCAGAGTGCACAAAGCAGCAGCAGCGTCTAACTTCTGACTATGATTGGCAGACCTTGATCAGAGTTTCCAGCTTTTCTCTGAGAGCAGCTGGAGAAATCCAGATTGGAATCTTCAGGTTTGGC